TCTTATAGACTGGTGAGGAAGTTTTACCATCACTTGTGGAGAGCTTTATATAGGGCCGAGAAAGCACAGGTAAAAATTTAAAGACATCAGTATTGCTTCCTCCTCTCCCTATGCATTTCTTCAAGATGTCAACGTCTTTGGGACGGCAGAAACTCTTTCTTCTATTAGTTCTTCGACAGAAGAGACTCTTCCTTCAATTTTTCCAACCCTATTTGCAACTGTGTCTATTCTGCCTTACATAGCCTCGAATTTGTTTTCTATAATGCAGATAATTTCTCTTTCCATTTCCTCCTGACCTGCTTCAATCTTTCTTGAAGAGCTTTCATATTTCCTTCAACAGATTTTTGGCCAGCTTTTTTGCAGATTTTTTGCAGTTGTGTTTATTGCTTTCGGATCACTGCTGTAAACAGTTGCACAATATCTTCATTTGAGTGGCTTCAAAGATGAGGATTTATGGAGCTTTTGAGAGAGGGAAAAAATTTTATTTTTACAGAACACAGCTAGTGATGAGTCGGTACTACCGAACCGGGGTCGGGTATTTTGTAACGGGTACGTAACGGTACTGAAAATCGGTACATCCAAGTACCTGTTACTTCAGTACCGAAATCGGTACTTTTCGGTATTCGTTACTTCTGTACCGAAACGGGTACTTTTCGGTATTCGTTACTTCTGTACCGAAACGGGTACTTTTCGGTATTCGTTACTTCTGTACCGAAACGGGTGCTTTTCGGTATTCGTTACTTTGTAACGAAAATATGCATCTCTTCTCAGTATTTCGGTATTCGTTAATGGAGGATCGATGAGGGTTCAGCTCACTTCGGTTTTGGTACGAGGACAGTAGTATCTGGTTGTATTTGTGAAATGGTGATATACTCCTTGTGTTATTTAACAGATGATCATTAAATCTGATATTTACTTGAAACTCTATCGAGTGCACAGCTAATTTTCTATTTTAAATTTATTGCGACTTTTTACTCATAGTATAGTGTTGCATCAAAATTTCTATTTTCCGATTTTTTTCCCTTTGTTTCCCTCCAACAACACAACACAGCCGAAAAAAACACATAGTGTACTCTCCCTTCCTTCAATATCATACAAAGAAAAATCTTCCGACGTTTTTCAAGTACGCAACTATGCTCATTTGGGGCTGTCCATAAATGATGTCACACTTTTCTGCAACATTTTGGACCCCCCTCCCCCTCTTTGTCCACAAAGTGTCGCACTTCAACATACCCCCTCTCCCCCTTTGTCACATGTCACGCAGTCTTACGTAAACTTATACTTGCAGTTCGAAAACGTAGCACTACGTTAAAGATCATATTTCAGACTTTATTTTTAAATTTAAACTATATGTTTTAATGACATCTGTCAATATAACAATAATAATGATTCGTGCACTTATTTTGTATGAAATAAGAGAAAAGTTTACAGCAGAAAACATAATTAATACACAATAGCAATAAAATTACAATTTCTGCCGCTACCCTATTCTCAAAACCTACTCTGAATGTTTTTTTTTTTTTGAAAGAAAGGAATGTAAGTTAAAAAAAAAAAAAAAAAATCACATGAAAGTTGCTTTCGCCCCAATTAAGGAAATACCTTCAAATTTTGGTAATTTTAAAATAACTTCAAAATTCAACCTGCTGATTTTAGCCGACCAGCGGCCGAGTGGTAAAGTCGCTGAACACTGGTAGTTCGGTCCGAGGTTCGAATCCCGCGAACGGGCTGGCTGCATAGGTGTTTTCGTGGTTTTCCCCACGTGTATACGAGCCGGTTTCCCTTAGAAAGTCCTCCACGAAGGCAATCCCTCCCCTTAGGCAGATAGCCCTAGTGTGCTTTGCCATAATTAATTACACCAGCATCACACCACAATCTGCTGATTTTAAACATTTTTATTTTAATCAAAATATGATGTCACACTTCTTGTTACACCCTCCCCCGCCTTTTCACAAACTGTCACAATTTCACTAACCCCCCTCCAAGCGTGACATCATTTATGGACGACCCCTTTCACAAAATTGATAGAGCACCCATCGATTTGCTGCACCTGCACACGAGACACAACCGAAAACGAAAATGTTTCCATCCATCCACTTCCCGCGCCAATCCTCCCAACCCCCACTGGCCATCAAAGACAATCTACACAAACCCAACACCAGAAACAACCCGCCGCGCTCTCCTGCTCCTCAGACACTTCCGTAGTTGACATGTTTTCTGATATTCAAAATCTTACTCCGTACAGATAAAATCAAACACGTGGTGACGTGGCAGAGTTCCTTCAGTGCACAAAATCGTTAGCTGCGTATTTCGGTACTCCAAATCGTTACTAGGGCACTTCGGTACTCCAAATCGTTACTAGGGTACTCCGGTACAGCAAACCGTTACTCCGGTATTTCGTTACTTCGGTTCTCCAAATCGTTACTTGGGTACTCGGTACTTGAAATCGGTTTTCGGTACTTTTCAAAGTAATGGTTACTTGAGTAACGGGTATTTTGTACCGGGTACTTGTCTGTACCCGTTACTCTCGTACCGGGTACAAGAAAGTACCGAAGTTGCCCATCACTACACAGAGCACACTGAAAAACACTCGTAGTTGCGTTTCTATTATCTCTCTTAGCGGTCGCTTTCATGCTTCTAGTTCATAGTAAAATAATTTGCATCTTAATTTATTTATTCTTACATATAATTTTCTTATTTTTAAAAATATTTCATAGTTTTATATAAGTAATTTAGTGCATTATTAGTTACTTTTTGTCTCATACTTTTTGTTTCCTGTTTTAAATTTTTTATTTATAATTAAAAATGCGTGTTTATGCAAATATTATTTACTTCATTAGTTGTTCAGCAATTTACTAGTATAATCTGCAATTTGGGTTACGTTCAGATACTTACTTTTCAGCAAAGTAAAGATAAATAAGCAAATGTTTAGTCTTAAATGCTCTAGACGGGTGCTGGTTTCAAGGCGAAACCGGTCCCCTTTCCATAAAGGGGGACGAAAAAAATTTTTTAAACTAATTTATGTTGTCTATAGGACCATTGCATGTCATTATGCTTACTTTTTCATAACTCTTAAAAAATCATAACATTGCACCCCTGAAAGGGTTAAAAGAAAAATGAAATAGCTTCAAGTTAAAAAATCTTTTATAGTCTTAAAGAAAGCTGAAATTATTATTATTATTATTTTCATCTTTGTAAAATTTAAATGAAATATTTTCATCTTAGGGGGGAAAGGCAAAATTTTCGATTTGGGTACAAACAAAACATTTTTTGAGCTATAAAATTTTAAATGAACCTTTTTTAGAGTCTGATTAGAGAGATTTGAATTTTTTTAAAGAGATTTTAAGAGATTTTTTTTAAGAGATTGAATGAGTTAGATTAAAGTATGACTTTTTCTCCATACATTTTGAAATTAACATGGATTTTTCCATAGACAAAATGAAAGTGGAAGTTTTTTGGCCTAAAAAATTAGTTTATCAACTCAGAAAAATGAAAGTGGTTCTTTTTAGTCTTAACGAAAACTGTAGTGAATGTTTTTCATGCAAGAAAAATGTAAATAAAACTTTTCTGCCTTAGAAATGATGAAAAATCAAATGATTTTTTTCATTCATTTTGAAAGTAGCACGGGATTTTTCAGGCAGAAAAAGAAACTGAAAACTTTTCTTCTTTAAAATTTAAAACTTATTAAAACTCTGAAGTTTTCTCAACCTAAATCAGTGAAAAACAAAATGCATTATATTTTTTCGTATTTTGTGCCCAGGTTTCTTCTTTAGCTTTGACATTTTTCAATTTCCATAATGTGTATGTAAGTCTTAAAAGATTTTTATGTATTTATTAAAACCTTTCCAGTATTTTCTTAAATACTTCAGCCATATATTTATTTGTACATAGATGACATTAAATTTGTCATGATCATCATACTCAGTACGTAAGACATTCTTTTTACAAAGTATGAAATGTATCTCGCTCCCTCAACAACATTTCATTCTTTTATAAAGGATTTAAGAAAACATAGACATGATTGCATAAAACCATTTCATTCAGATAAATGAATATTAATAGTAAATAGTTTATTAACTAGTTGGTTATAAATAAGAGACATTAAATATGAAAGAATATCTTTTCTCAATGATCACAGATTTAAATGAAACAATACAAAATCATGTTCTCAGCTTAACAGCCTTCGGGGCCAATAAGAATATCATAAGCGAAATACCTTATCATTTAAAATTAGCTTCAAAGACATTTGTCTTTTCTGAAAAATACTATCTAACTTGCAGTATGAAGAATGAGAGTAATTCAGAAAACTAATTTAGAAATTAATTTAATGTGTGGTCAACAAGAATGAGGGTCACACTGAGAGAGGTCTATGCACTTGCCAAGGGACTGCTTTTATTGAATAAAATGCTATGGTGCACTGAAATACATATCATCTCTGAAATCCTTTGGGGCAGTTCATTTGTCGCATTAAAATGGTGTTGGACTGAAATTCCATCATTGTCTCATTTGTCTGATTCTCAGCAATATAGATGCAACAGTGCCATATTTTGCACAATATATTTACATATTTTGACAACAGTGCCATATTTGCAATGTAGATGACAACAGTGCCTTTTTGAGACATCTGAAACTTTTTTACCATATTGTCATTAGTCTTCCTGCCAAATCTGGTGGTAAATAAAAACACTCTGTATTGAATTTGATTTGTCTTTACAATCTTTTAGATTTTTTTTCAATTTAATTTGCAATGCAGTTTTATTTCATTTTGTTTTTAAAATAATTCATTAGTTATTTTGTTCAAAACATTTGAATGATTATTTAGTGATAAGAAAAACATTTGAAGAGCTAAGAGTATGCCTAGCTCTTCAAATACTTTTGATACTTTTGATAAAACCAAAAGAACTTTTTAGAACAAAAATGTAAATAATTTAATAATTTTTCAGTTTCACTATATAGTGGAGTCCAATTGTGCATTTCAGAATAAAAGAAATAAGTACAAAAGATCATAAAAATATCTCACTTTTATTTCAATGTGAAATGTGTACATAACTATAAAAATTCACAATCAACAGAATGAAAAACCACAGCACAAATGATTCTACATTTTACTGAAAAATGTATCCATATTTCGAAACTTTTTTCATAATACTTTTTTATCAAAAAATAGCAGTCAAGCAAAAATTCAAAAGAACTTAATACTTTTGTGCAATTGTTTGTACATTTATGTTGTAGCATCATTATCAATTTATTCTTACGGAGAATATTAGTTTCTTTAATATAAAGTACAAGTATAGCTTTAAAAATATAAAACTCTGCAGTTTTAAAGATCATTTTGACTAGCTGTAACAATAATAAGGCTGCCATAAAGGCTATGCATTTAAAGCAATATATTTTTAGACAATTTATTGCTTACTATTAATTAAATATAGTGGTAACTTTCCTTTATGCATTAAGTAAGATATTTAAATTATTCTGCAGGCATAACAGACCTATTGTTTAATCTAGTTAATTATTCGTGTTTTCAAGAGAAAAATTAAAATATTGAAAATGCTACTGTATAAGAAAGTTAACAACATGTATGTAGCATGTTAAAAAAAGAAAAGGAAGACAGGAATCATGTGGAAGATAAATGTGTTTTAAATATGGCAGATAATCCTTACTCAATGAACAGATTATGCAAAACTGCATAAAAGTAAAACAATATTCTTTATTCTGAGTTTTAATATGCTAATATTGGCAATTATAATTATGTATTAATTTTGTTAAAGAATAAAATTAAAATGAATTCTTTACTGTACATAATTTTATAATGTAAAGAGCTACATCATTTGCTGTAAGTTTACTGTGCATACATATAATGAAATCAAAAATTAAATTTCAGAAGTTACTACAACAGTGGAATGCTTATGGAGAAAGAAAATTTATTTTTATTAATAACAATTAATGCAATAAGTAATAGTATAAACATGATTAAAATTTCATTTATGAATACTAGTTTTATTGCTAGACCATGATGATCATCCACTAAGAAGAAATAACTACTAAATTTTGAGTGAAATTATTATTAAATTTAGGTGAACACAAGCAATTTTTTTAATAGCTTTTTTATCTGGGAAAGGAGGAGAAAGGAGCAGTTTTAATACTAATCATGCTTTTCTTTAAAAGTGACAGATGCAATAAAAATTTAAATGATTGGTGGATAAAGTTAATTCATCATAAAATTATTTATAAAGAATATTCTGAAAATTCAGGAAAAAGAACTAAAATTTATTTATAAAAAAGAATAATATGAGGGTAAATATGCTTTCTAAATGAAAATTATTTTACATCAAATAATGTTGGGGGGAGGAAACTATTATAAATTATAAGCATAAAATATCTATTTACCCCTTACCCCCATGAAACTCATATAAACATCTATGAAACACATAAGAGTTCTGGCACAAATATGATTTCTGCCTTATAGATATAACAACTTATTTAAGTAGAATTATCCCGACTGCATTGTGCAAAAATATTTAAGATAATACAACAAAATTATTTGTTAATTAAAAAAATATTCTTTAATTTTAAATATACAGCATAATACTTTTGCCAATATACCTAAAAATCATCATACAACAGTTTTAATGTAATAATTAAACCCTAATTCTAGAGAAAACTTAATTTTTTAAAAATATATTTTGGTATCATAATTTACAGTAAATGAATCTAGTTTAAAAATCAAACAGATTTTTACAGTTCCATATATAAAAATAATATGGCAGATAAAAAAATTATGGATAGCATTATAAATGTAAAAGAACAACTGGACAGGCAGTTAAACCACCAGTTTATGATAGGACATTAGTTAAAGTATTTTTGATTAACGAGAGCTAGAAATTAAATTGAAATTAAAAATATGTCTATATAACTTCCTCAGATGTTTGGTAAAAAATATTGAAGACTAAGGATACATTTAAATAGTCTTTGGTTGTATTTTTTAAAATTTATTATAGTGAGTTTGATTTATTGTTTAAAATTATATTCACTTAATAGAAGTTCTGAAAGAATCTGAAATCCTTTAATATTTATGTCAGTATAGTAAAATAATTAGAACAAATTATTATTATAAATCTTATATGATTTTTATAATAAAATTATTCTTTCAAATACTAAATAATACTGATAAGTTTTCTCTAAAGATCAAACAAAACATCCTTTGCACTTTGATGCCTAATTTAAAAAAATAAACTTATTTCTGCTTTAAACTGTCGATTTTTTAATACCTGCTAATTGAATTGTATATTTTTACTATACCTGATTAAAAACACTATGCCTTTATTGTTGCTTTACACAGCTATGCAGGACAGCCTGCATCCAACAATGAAGGAATATTTTGAAAGTATAAAAATATATAAAATGCAGAAATTTAGTATTAAAAAGAAAGCATTTGTCCTATTGTATATTTCTATTAAATAGCTTAATGAATTTTGTTTATCGTAGATTTAGAATGTTAAACTACTATTAAAAAAAGAGCTTTTTAAAAAGGAATATTTTCTAAAATATTTTAAGAAATTTAAAAATACATTTAAAACAGTAAAAACTTTGAAATTAAAATTTTAACAAAAATAAGTTAACTTATGAACACCAAATAATTTAGAAAAATTAAAATTGTAATTTCAAAGCTTTTAGGATATTCATATATGTGCAATTTTTTAACTGCTTTTATTGCAAAATGGCAGAGGATGAAAATTACATTTCTTCAAACTCAATTTTTTTTCACGGCAAAATGTTTTTAAGAAAGTCCTTTTACTCTGTTCTATAGGAACAAAGCAAATATGAATTAAATAACAATTTTATCATTCATAAAGTATCAATGTAAGTATAGGTATGTGTAATGATGACAGAATGAAATAATAATGATAATAAATTTACAATAATTTTAAAGTGAGCCTAGATGGAGTGATTAAGTAACATCTATTCAACAAGTTAATCCAATATATTAATCTAAAACAATTCTGACTAGTATTTTTTCATATTTAAAAAATCAGAAATAAAAATACACTCTGAAAAACGTAATATTCTACAAAAGCAAAAAAATATATTCAGATGCCTCAAAGTAAAATGCTCTGAAGATTTTTCAATACGTTGCTTACTATGGATAAATTTAAATTTAAAAAATACATATGATATTTACTATATGTACATCAATAAACATCAGTAAATTATAACCATTTCTTTTTCTTTAGAGTATTGTTTCCTGATCCATTTCCTGCTTCTTGTTTCTTTTTGTCTTTTTTGTTTTTGGACTTCTTTGATTTTCCACTGCTTTTTTCTTTTATTTCTGCTGTAATTGGTAAGGCACCTGTTAGGAGAGCAAGTAATTATCTGATACAGGAAAACTAAAAGCCCATCAACCAACCAAAGATGACCAAAATAAAAAAGCAAATAAAAAAATGCATGCAAAACCATAGCAAATTTGGAATATTTTCATGCACCATTTTGAGCAAGTTTACTGAAGCAACAGTTTGTGATAATATAGAAGAAAATTAGAAAGAAATATAATGAATAAAAGGCTGCTGTTTTATACTATCTCAAAAGCAAGAGGAATACATTATATAACATAAAATTTAGTGATTCATAAATAATACTGCAATTATACAAACAACTTCAGCACGAAAAAGCATTTTCATAACTATCAATGTATACCAATCTAAAAATTTCACTTTAAAACATTTCAAAACTCTAACAATACTTTTAAAAATATTCCTTAAATTTTATTAATTATTACTGAAAAGTCAACAACACTGGAAATTTCAGAATTTCATTAGAAAGCAAGAATGGGCACATATTTGTTTACACAATATCTGATATAATCATATAGCAAATGCTGTAAAAGAACCATTATCTTCATAATTCATCATACTAGCAGAAATTTAATACACATTTTATCTATCTATCTATATTTGATTTATTTATTCTGCTTGTTTTGCTAGCTCACAGAATATTTTGACTTTACATATTTAAGATTTTCACACATTTTTTAGAATTTTGAACTAAATAAATGCAGTGTAGGATATAATTTAATTCATGTAATAATTTATGATTATTTATATATCTCATTCTAAGATGCATTGAAATTGAATTAAAATTATATACTGCTCCTATAACTTCTTATATATTTTGTTTACATTTAAAAGGATCTCAAAGAAAATGTTTACAATATTTTACATACAAGTATATTATCAGAAACTAACCAAATTTTGAGCAGCTTTAAACTTCATTTCAGTTTTATCAATTGCTGAAACATATATATAAAGGAAATTCATACTCAGTTATTGCTGGCAGATTCCAATTAGTGCTAATAAATGCTGTAAGACAGAGATTATAGCAAAAGTGCAGAGAAACGAAAGTGTTATCACATGCAAAATATTTACATCAAAATGCATTCCAGCTTTGCACAGCAGCAGATTTAAAAAAAAAAAAAAGAAGAAGAAGACACGAAGAAGCAAGATATGAAACTTTTTTTAAATATATGCATATATTTTATATATTAAATATACCCTGTTTGATTTCCAACTGCTCTTGTACACTGACATCTTCTTCTAGTTCCCTATGAAGTTAAAATATATCATCATAATGTGTAAAAACAAGATATGACAACAAATCAAAAGCTACACAAAATTTAATTTTTAAATATTAAAAGGTATCAGTTTTTAATAAAGATCATAAAAATGTCTCAGTGTAATGCCTTCATTTTTAACCAAGGAAAAAAATATATAACCCCCCCCCCCAATTTCATGTATATTCAACAATGATAATCCAATGAAACAACCCATTTTTGGAATTTCACATTCAAAATTACCAAACTGCAAATTTTGAAGGCTTGTTTATTTAAGACAATGAAATACCTTTTTCCATTTTAAAATTACAACACTTTATTTTTTATGGACAAAAATAGCTTACTTCATGAGAATTTATGACAACAGCCTTAAAAATAAAATATGGATTCTTAAGACTAATATAAGGTACTATAACTCACGCTGTTACTGTCCAAGGATAGTGGAATTCTCAAAAGAAATCTACAGTCCTCTTTTTATAAAAGGCTTGGCATGTATGTATACATTAATGTCTGCTACGAAGCATATCCCATATACTACCATATTTATAGGTTTGGAACAAAGATCATCAAATGAAAATAACATAGTCACTTTTCTATTTAGTACTATCATATGGCTTATAACATACAGTCACTACAGCCACTACTTTCACACTGATTAACCCCTTGATGTGCAGTTAGTCGCTCCCTGAAACCACCAATTTTTTAATATTTTCCCCGTCTTCTTTCCTACAATTTTGAGTGAAAACTGATTAATTACTTATCTTTTACCTCTAAATAACACAAAATGAGTGCAGAACTACACATTTTTGAGGTCTTAGTACTTCAAATTGGATGCCTTTGAAATTTTTGTTTTTCAATGAGATAAAATAACTTCCCTTTTATTAATATAAACAATTTTAAATTTTAAAAGTTATTCATTGCACATCATCATTTCTATCATAAACAATAAAAATATAGCAATAATTAAACTGCATATATGAACAACCCATGTAGATTTATTGTACTCGCTTTTGAGCCCCTAGAACACTGAGTCAAAATGCTCTAGGTACTCAGTAGTCACGACCTGTCACCACTGCTCTTCAGAATGGTGTTTGCTGCTTTCAAACAGGAGTGTTTATTTTTACCGCATAAAGATGAGGAGCTCTGAAAGCACAGAGTTATTTTATTACTAAATACATGCACCTGCCCCGTGAAAATGTCTTTCATTGCAAAAGGTTTTTCTCCCACCTGCTTCCTATGCTAGTATTGTGATTTTATAAATTATTTTATGTGGTTTAAATATAATGCAAATATGTTTTTCTATAATTAAAAAAAATTCCTGCAAAAGTTTTATTTAAATTTAAAATATTTTATGAATATTTTTTCTACTGCTGAGATTTAAAATGCCTTGCAAAAGACTAAAAATAGCTGGAGCATTATCTTTACTTGAAGAATTACCTTTAGATGCAGAATCAGTGGTCTCAGGATGAAAGTGATAGAGAGATACTTCTTTACCCACTTCCCTCCTGCTTATGGAAATATAGAAGATGAAAAATCAGAAAATAATGATATAAATTTACCAGGTCCTTTTAGAATTGCACAGGTAACGTGAAATAAAACACAGAATGTAGTTAAATCAACCTGAACTTTCTGAGGATTATGGCCCAACTGAAGAAATTATCACTATGGAAGATGCAAAACCCACTAATAAATTTGTCTTTTTTACTATTACATTTTTAGATAAATATTTTTTAAACTAAGTTATATGCAACTCAAAAAGGTTAGCCATTTTCACCTGTAACTCTTTAGGATATGATACATTTTTTTGGGATAAACATTTTAATGGGAATTAAAAACAAGCCCAAGCTATCGAGATTTTTGGTGAACTAATGAAATACTAAATGAATCTTATGTGCAAATCAAATGGCAGTAAAACAGTTTTAATGGATTTTAGGCAATTTGCATTTCATGATAACAGCTTGATGTGAAAAAGAGAGGACAAAATATTTGACAAGCATTTTAAATCTTGGGCTCTATTGATACATTTGCTGGAACAATTCAATAGTCTGTTTAGAGCAGGAAAAAAAATTGGTCGATTGACAAGGTCAGGTTACTTAATTACGGCAAAGCTTCGAGAGCTATCTGCCTAAGAGGAGGGATGCCTTCGTGGAGGACTTTCTAAGGGAAACTGGCTCGTACACACGTTATTACACATGGGAAAAACCACGAAAACACCCATGCAGCCAGCCCGTTCGCGGGATTCGAACCTCGGACCGAACTACCAGTGTTCAGCAACTTTACCACTCGGCCGCTGATGGGCTGGTTGATTGACAAATTAATGATTTATTTCAAAGGTAACTAAAGGTTCACTAAAACAATACTTGCCTAAAAAAATAAAACATGTATATAAAGTATGGCTGCATTACAGTATATGCATTAAATTTGAAATTTATACAGCAGAATCCAAGAAGTAAAAAAATTTCAGTGAAAGAGTGGTAAAAATGCTAAGTGAGCCCTTGTGTCATAAAAATCACACATATATATATGGAAATTATCACTATGGAAGATGCAAAACCCACTAATAAATTTATGTCTTTTTTTTACTATTACATTTTTAGATACATATTTTTAAACGAAGTTATATGCACTCAAAAACTCAAAAAGGTTAGCCATTTTCACCAGTAACTCAAAAACTCAAAAAGGTTAGCCATTTTCACCAGTAACTTTTTAGGATATGATATATAAAAGTTTTTAGAAACGAAAAATGTATTTTGTTGTGGAACTGTAGATATATATATATAAAATAATAATTTTAAAAAGAACTCTTCCCAAAATGCTGATTAAAGATAAGAAATTAAAATGGGGTGACTTTTACTGGGCAGTAAGTGATGACAAAATAACTTATCTAAAATGGAAAAACAAAAGATGTGTTACAGCCTAATCCTTCCTGTTATTCAATCTACCATCAGATACAATGTCCAAAGTTAATTATAGATTATAATAAGATATGGATTATGTGGACTACTTTGGCCCATTTAAAAGCTTATATGAAATTGATAAAAAAAGTAAAAAATGGTGGCATCAAATTTTTTTTTTCATTTTATTAATGTCACCATTATAAAAGGCTTCATTATATATCGAATGCTTCCAGAAAGTGATCCCAATTTATAAGTACTCAAGTTGTTCAGAATGGACATAATCAGCAGTATGATACGAATGGTAAATGAAGTATCTGTACCAAAGCAAAAAAGACTAAGCCCCCCTATTAACAAGACAAAAAAAATTCACATGCCAGGTGAAAAGAGACTAAAGAATGCAAAACAAATGTCAGCAAAATGCAAATCCGGGTGGTGTACATTTTGTAGCACAAGGAAGAAACCTCACAGAACAAGATGCATTTGCAAAACTGCTATGTGTACCAAAAAGATAAAACATGTTTTGACCAGTTTCAGAAAAAATAACTATTCGATATTGGAAAAAAAATAACTGAGTTTTTTTAATCCTTGCTTTAATGAGGCTTTAATAATGTAAAAGATTTACATATAATGCAATTTTTAAATACAATTTTCTTTTAATTCACAAATTTCATCATTTACTGGAAATGTGCACTGAAAAAGGTAAGTTTTCCCCCTACTACCTCAATAAAATTCAAAATCCAAAATGCGCACTGGTTTCACAGTGTGGTCACCACCCACAGATCAGTGGGCGACAGAGATTTTTTTTTAAATTCATATATTATTTGTTTCTAGGATCATAATATTCAATTTCTAGAATTTTTTGTTGAAATATTATAAAAATAATATTCCGTGTATTGAAGGGTTAAACATAACAGTCACTTTCTTACTCTGCAGAGCTATTCAGATGAGCATTTGAATAATGGAAGTTTCCCCCCTCCCCTCCAAATGACATATAAATCCATTGAAAATGCATAAAATGTATAAACATGTAAGCTTAGAATGAGACTCAACTTTCAGAATTGGCAGAAACATAGAATTATAAAAATGTGTTAAAGATGATTAAAAGTACTCTTGAATGCTATATGTGCTAAAATTAATGTGTCAAAATTATCACCCCTAACCTTACCAATTTTAGATAGTGAAATGCCTTTTTAATCAAAACAAAACATGCACAATATTATTTGAATATGAATGAAAATATTTCCAATAAAAACAAAAATATTTATTGAAATAGCTAAGTAGCAAATGAAAAATAAAGTTTGGATTTGATAATTTACAAGAACTTTCTGCAATTAGCACCATCAAAATTTTTAAAACATCTAAAATATCAGTTTTATACACTTCTGTTAGAATAAATACATGTTTGCTTTAAAATTACAGTTCTTGTAGCAGTTTTTTGAAAATAGTATGCTACACAGCTTTGATATTTAGATGAACCAAAAAAAGAATAAGGTTTCTACTTTAATGTAAGATTTTTCTCCTGCTTAAGTTTCAATTTTAACACTTTGTGGACAGCTGTTGCATACACACGGCAGACTCACTTAAGAAGACAGGTGCTATATATGTGCCAAAAAAGAAATTTTAATTTAAAGGATGGCTGTAGCCCATTTGCTTGTTTTCATTATGCAAATAATAGTCTGCATTCCTTGCTCACTGGTATCTGAAGAAATATATTTTTAGTCTCTTGATATACTCATTTTATTTCCTTTTCTTTTTTATTACCTTACTCCCATTTCTTTCTTTCTTTCTTTCTTTTTTTTTTTTTAAATGAGACAAAAGAACCTTTCTTACTTAAATATTTAAATCACTTACATTAGGAATGCTTAGATTAGATTAGTCACTTAGATTGGATTTTGAATACAAATATTGAACTTATTACAGTACAAAGTCAGTAATCCAGACGTCCATCATCTGGAATGATCTATAATCCAGACACAGCAATTACAGGACTTGAACAGTGGAACTTTGTAACTGAACAAGAAATTATATCTGTTTATAGAATTAAAGAGATGGTATTAGCACAAAAAACGAAGCAACTTAAACAACTTACATTGA